TTTTTTTTTTTTTTTTAATATATATTGATTTCAGAGAGAGGAAAGGAGAGGGAGAGATAGGAACATCAATGATGAGAGAGTCATTGATCAAGCCTGCAACCCGGGCATGTGCCCTGACTGGGAATTGAACCCCGGTTGCCTGGATCCTAGGTCAGTGCTCAACCCCTGAGCCTTGGCCGGCTGGGCTTTTGTGCTTCTGTCACTAACCCACCTGAGGGTCTTTGCTTCCCCACCCCTCACACCTCCCCCCATCCTGTGATCGGCCTGGGGCCTGGGGACTGCCTGTGCTGCCACCTCCAGGCCACCTGCGGAACTGCTGTGAAAACCGAAGGATGGGCCTCACCCAGTGAGAGGACTGCCTGCTTCTTGCAGATGCTGAGGCTGGTGCCCTGGGTAGCCCTATGGCAATAGTGCCTCTGCCTGCCTGCTGGCTGCTATCTGGCTCTCTAGTTACTGGGTTCTGATCCCGCCTTTGCTCCCCCATCCTGCCCATCGTGGAATCCTCATTGTCCCTCTGGCGCCCCCACAGTCCACTGCCAACACATGGGTGCCCTGGCCCACTCTAGTGCCCTCAAACCCAGAGCCCCACTGCCCGCCACTGCTCCAAGCCCTGCCCTCTGCCTGCGCCTTCCCATTGCTTCTGGCCCCAGACTGGTGCTACTGTGGCCTTTCGCTAGCTGCTGTTTTCTTGGTCTGGGCAGAGCTGCTCTGTCACCCACGTTCCTGTGTCAGAGCCACCCTGAGGGCCTTGATTAGCTGTCACTCATGTCCAGCCCAGCGCACAGTCACTGTCCTTGTGTTTTGGCTCATGAGCCTCAAGTCAGGGTCTAGGCCAGCATCTGAGCTGCTCCCCGGGGTCAGGTGGGGTTGTTCGGTGGGGTGCCCCGGGCAGAGGGGCAGGTGCCCTAGAAGTGTCCTAGGGCTGTGGGTGGGGTTAAAGAGGGAGCAGTTTTCTCTGGCCTGCTGGCCCTGTGCCTGCACTGTCTGGCAGGGCTGTCATCTCTCATGAAGGGAGAAGGACTCCCTTTCTTTACCTGTCCCCCAGCCCCATAGCTGGGTGGGCAGGGCTTCACCTGCACAGCCCTGACTCTCCCTGATAGTCAGAAGTAAGGTCCAGGAACCAAGTTGACATGGGACTTCGCTTCCTGCTGTGTCGTCTGAGCCTTCACTGGGAGTGTGGTGCACTTCCTCTTAGGGTTAAACATGTGGACTTGCCAACAGCTGCTAGGCTGCCGGCCTCCTGCTTTCCCACCTGGCACCCACAGTCGTGTGCCAGGGAAGGGTCCGCATCTTACTTTGCAGGTGATCCATTGGGAAGTTGAGTGACCAGTTGGCACCCAGACCCCTGCTGGGAGGGGGCTTTGTTTTCTGCCTCAGACTCCCACTGACTTGGGCAGAGAGTTGTAGGCTACCCACACTCCAAGGCCTGAAGCTAAGCAGAGGGTGTTTGGGGTGTGCCACCTGTTCACCTGACCCAGGTCTGAGAGCTCCTCCCATGGGGTCCAGACAGTTCCACCGCCCAGCTCAGATTCCTGTGCAGCTGGGACATGTCACTGCACCCAGAGTGCTTTGGGTGTCTGAGAGACCTGGCATCCTTCCCTGCCTGCAGGGAGGGGTTAGGGTGAGAGTTAGGGTTAGAGTACTGAGCAGAGTGCGCTGGCCTGGGCCTGTCCTGGAGCAGGTCTGAGTAATGTCTGCTCTGGAAGCTGTGAGAGTTGTTAGGGAGTAAGTAAGCGTGTGAGAGCAGGGACCACGATGGTGAGCAGTGGGCGCATCAGGCAGCAAGAGGACCTTCCACGTGGGACAAGCAGCTGGAACGGGGGAGGCTGGCCACTTGGGGCTTGGCTGGCATGGCCACGGGGTGCAGTGGGTCTGGAGAAGCGAGGCCTGTGCAGGACTAGGCAGATAGGCCATTGAGGATGCCTGCGCTGGGCCTGTCTTAGCATGAGTTCCTCCCCCCTCAAAGGCACATCCAGGACCCTGCCAGCCAGCGGTTGACGTGGAACAAGTCCCCAAAGAGTGTGCTCGTCATCAAGAAGATCCGGGACGCCAGCCTGCTGCAGCCCTTCAAGGAGCTCTGCGTGTACCTGATGGAGGTGACAGGCGGGGGCAACCCCAGAACTCCCCTACGTCCCCCACCCCCTCCATCTGTGCCAGCAGGGTCCCATCGCGGGTGTCACGGGAACACAGGTGGCTGCCTGCTGTATTCGGGACTTGTGCCACGTGGTGGCCAGTGTCTGAGCAGCCGAGACTCAGGAACTGGTTCCCCAGAGTGCTGGCAGTGGCGGAGGCCTCTGCGTGGGGTTGACACAGCCGTCTGTCCCCAGATGAACATGATTGTGTATGTGGAGAAGAAGGTTCTGGAAGATCCGGCTGTTGTGGGCGACGGTGGCTTCGGGCCAGTGAAGAAGAGGTTCTGCACCTTCAGAGAAGGCAAGTGCCTGTGCCTGTGGGAGTGTCCGGCCCTCTTGCTGGTGCCCATCACGTGTGGGTGACGGTGTCTCGCTCTGCCTTCCAGACTATGACGACATTTCCAACCAGATCGACTTTATCATCTGCCTGGGGGGGGATGGAACCCTGCTCTACGCCTCCTCACTCTTCCAGGTGAGCCTCCCACGTGCACGGTCTGTGCGCAGTTTCTGCCTCAGGCTGAGCAGTTGTCCAGTGTCCTTGCTTTGACACAGACACAGGTTTGCACATGGGCCAGGTGCTGCGCCTGCTCGGTCTGGGGCTCTGAGCTGGGGGAGAAGACAGTAGCCACAGGCTGATGCTCCAAGGGCGTGGTGGGGGAACCCTGGGAGGCACCAGAGGGTGGGGGTCTGCACAGGAGCCCAGTGGGTTGTCCCGAGTCCTGAGCCCACCCTCACTCCTGCACTGCCCCAACCAGGGGCATCCATCTGAAGGTCAGGTGCGGAGGGCCTGGAAGTGGGCAGGGCTGTCCTCACTACCACCCCTGGCCTTGCTGACCTCTGGTTACTTCATTTCAGCCCAGCCCCACCACCCTTGCCAGACAATGACCTTGGGGTGCGTGTGGTCGGGTGGCATGGGTGGACTGGCTGCTAAGTGACCCACCTCCTCGGCTCACAGGGCAGCGTGCCTCCTGTCATGGCATTCCACCTGGGCTCCTTGGGCTTCCTGACCCCTTTCAACTTTGAGAACTTTCAGACCCAAGTTACTCAGGTGATACAGGGTGAGTCAGAATGTTCTGGAGCCCACAGCTCTGAGCCCGGCCTTGGCTTCTCCTTTAGCTCTGGATTTTTAAGGATGTGCACAGCAACAGTTAATATTTCAAGGTTCAGAGATTCCCTGCCCTTTATTGAGTTTATTGGTGACATTGGTTAATAAAATCATATAGGTTTCAGGTACACAATTCCACAGCACATCATCTCTACACTGTATTGTGTGTGCACCACCCCAAGTCCAGTTTCCGTCTATCACCATTTATCCCCCATACCTTCCTCCACCTCTCTTAGCTCCAAGATTCAGAGACTTCTATATTTTGATTGGTTGAGACAATTTTCCTAACATTGAGAAGTCTGAGCAGGGCCCAGGTCGAGGACACTGTGTTGAGCGCAGTGGGTGGATTTTCACAGAAAACAAGTGTGTTGCTCTCGATTTTGGGGTGGGGGTTGCTCAAGGGGAGGTCTCTGCTTCCCATTGGGTGTGACCAGCCCGGGTCCCCAGGGAACGCAGCCATTGTTCTGCGGAGCCGGCTGAAGGTCAAGGTGGTGAAGGAGCCCAGAGGGAAGATGTCCTTCCCCAACGGGGTCGGCGAGAACGGGGTGCTGGCCTCCGGCTGGGACGCAGAGGCCGAGAAGCAGGTCATGCAGTACCAGGTCTGTGGACATGTCCCTCGGCTGTTCCTCAGCTGTCTTACGGCCTCGAGGAGGGGTACAGGGTTGGGGGATTTTGGTTGGAACCCAAGGGGAGTTTCCTCCCTCAGGATCTTCCAGAGAGCCCAGGTGCCTGGGGGGCAGACCCACCTAGGAGGCACCGCTCAGCCCCCTCAGTGCTTGGTGGCCTCACTGCCCCCCCCAGGTCTTGAACGAAGTGGTGATTGACAGAGGCCCCTCCTCCTACCTGTCCAACGTGGATGTCTACCTAAATGGGCACCTCATCACCACAGTGCAGGGTGATGGTATGTGGGCGTCGGGTATGTCGTGGGCACTGTGGGAATTCCACATGGGGCCGGGGGAGGAGCACGTGGAGAGTGACCCTTTGGCCTGTCCCTCAGGTGTGATCGTCTCCACCCCGACGGGCAGCACTGCGTACGCGGCAGCAGCTGGGGCCTCCATGATCCACCCCAACGTGCCAGCCATCATGATCACGCCCATCTGCCCCCACTCACTGTCATTCCGGCCCATTGTGGTCCCTGCAGGAGTCGAGCTCAAGGTTAGAACTTGCTCCACCTTTTCCAGTTTGAGTCCTTGCCTGGGGCTCGTGGTGCTGACCACTTTATCTGCTCAAGGTGGCCTAGTCCCCCGGCATCCCCTGACTGTGACCCCATTTCTGCCAGGCTGTGGGCCCCACCTCGTTCAGTGCCTGAAAGGTCCTCTCTCTCCCCCACCCCGTTCTCATCTCTGTCTGTTGGGCTCATGCTGCCAGGGGTATAGTTGGGAGGGAGCCGTGCTGAGAGCTGCGCCAGCCCCTCAGCCGTGCTCTCTATCCCCAAGGAGTGGGACCTGTCCGCATTGTATGGGGGCAGGTGAGAAGTGACCCCTGGCAGGTGGAGCTGCGCTCCATAGAGCTCCATGAGCTGGAGCCAGATGCCTGGCCAGTGCCGCCCTCCAGGGCAGGGGTCTGAGTGCTCAGCTGTGCGCACGCACACACACCTCTCCCCCTCTTGATCCCTGCAGATCATGTTGTCACCAGAAGCCAGGAACACCGTGTGGGTGTCATTTGATGGACGAAAGAGGCAGGAGATCCGCCATGGAGACAGGTGGGTGGACCCTGGGCCGGAGCAAGGGGTGAGGTGGGTGGGTGCCTGCCTGCCTCCCTCCCTTATCCTCCTGCCAAGGGTGACACATGTGGGCCCTGTAGGCACAGCTTGTCACCAGGAGCCCAGAGGGTTCCCTGTGTCACATTGGGGGAACCTGTGCTGTTACGCAGCTTGTCATGCACATTGCTGCGCGTGGCTGTGATCTGTACCTGCGGTGGCAGATCCTGCTCCTCACTGGCTGCAGCTGTGCCCTTTCTCTGCACCCCCCCATCCCCCCAGGATCTGGTCAGGGGAGTGGGCTGGGCTGAGTGGGTCAGTGGCTCTGTCCTGGGACGTAAAACTGCCAGTGGGGCCCTGGCTAGGCTGGGGAGCCAGGTCCAAAATGACTTCTTGCTGGG